ACAGTATGTCTTTCTTTAAATCTGGAATATTGCTGCAACAGCCGATAGCACCTCTGGAAGGCGTTTCTGCCCACTTTTCGAATGTGTATTGCACCATCCTGAAGGAAAAAAGAGGGCGTGAGATATCCAACCTTCCTGGGTAGACGTCACAAGAGCCGCTGGACCCATTCTCCTCAAACTGGGTCGTGAAACAAAAGGGCGGTGTTTTGGAGCTATTTTCGAGATTTCGTCGGGGCACAGAAAATCGAGGATTTAACGGAATCCAATTTTTTTTTCGCAGAACTATTTCAAATAACAAGTGGATTCGTTTTAGCGAAAAACAAATTTTGTGGTTAGGTGCACTTTAAGTTCCTTATTTGTGTATTGCTCTGCCACACAGCTCAACAATTCCACCCGTTTGCGACTTCCAGGCTTCTCTCTGGAGTAGCTGAGAGTTAAGCCCTCCACAATGTTAGCATTTCCATGTTGAACATTCACTTTTTCCTGAATGGGATTTGAAAGAGGTGAAGACAATGGCTTGCTACTTTTACTTTTTACTTTTTGATTCTAGTAAGAACAAAGAAACACCTCCTAGAGAGTGAGGACGAGGCCCGCAAAGTGAAAAATATTGTGGTCTTATTTTTTTTATCATCAAACGGAGAGGAAACACGTCCTGACATTGAATTAGTCAGTAATAATTAGTGACTCTTATCTGATTACTAGAATGCAAAAAAAGTACTGTTGATAGCCTGGATTAGTTTTCTATTTTAGGGAAAAATGCATACGGTCAAAACTCACAGTCACCTAAGAACCTAGTACAGGCTGAAATTTGGCATTTAAATACGCAAAAAATATAAGAACCTGTTTTCAGCCTGGCAAAGAAAAAGACATTCTTCTACAAAAAATCACTCCAGAGAAAACTTCTGTTATTGTGTATATGTATTCTTTGATTGGCGTTTTATTGGATTTTCCCTAGAAATATTGTTTTCCATAAAGCTGCAGTGCAATACTCTATAAATATCTTATGAAATAAAATACCGTAAATCCTCGAATAAGGATTTAAAATTTAAAGTAAGCGCCCCTCTCCCCTCATTTTGTTGACAACTAATGAGACAACAAATGACGTATAATTTTCGTCGTGTAGTATTAAATTTGTGCATTGTTTCAGTTTTTGCCTCGTTAAGTTTGGAAAAAAATTACAAGTACTACCGGCGCCGCGATTTAAACTTTAGGATCAGCTTTTTATGTCGATAAACAGCGTCTGTTGTTGTTTACGTGCAGATGATGTACTTAAAAAATGATCATGTCAGGCCACGATTTGGAAAAAATTAAACAAGCGCCCTTGTCTTTGCCCAAATTTGAAATAAGAGCCCCAGGTGCTAATTCGAGGATTTACGGTATAGAAATCTATTGTTGTTCCTCTGAAAAATAGGAACCTATTGAGAACCTGTAATCAGCCTGAATTGTGAAAAATTACCCCAAAATATTAGAACCTGTTCAGCCTGACCTCGAAAATTCTAGGTTCTTATATGTCAGTTTTTACTGTATTTCGTAGGGTTAGTGACTTTTACCCTGTTATACAAGTATGATGACAGTATGCCATGTTTTCAGTT